CAGGGTTAGCTACTTTGATTCCTTGCGATCTTGCTACGGCACGAAAAGTGCAAAAACGCATAATCGGACCGGCCCGCCTGGTGCGTCCCAGCTTGGGTTTATGGGAATATTTTACACTATGCTGTCAACAATCCATACGAAAAAATAATGAAAGTAAAAGGAAGTATGGGTCTCAAACGCTCTGTGAGGGAATGGAAGAGGGTAGTAACCAGAGCCAGGAAGAACGGCCCATTCAGCGCAGGGTATCGACTTTGTGGCACCAACCCTAGATGCAGTAGGAATAACCAGAGGTAGGACGGTGGCCGTTCAGAATGAAAAAACATCTGTCCTTATCGATTTTATTTCAAAATACTTATGCTCAGTTATCCAGGAAATACTCATTTGTTTCACCAAATTATTATCGGAAGGTAAAATACTGACACGGTCCATGTTAGTTATGTTTAATTCGGGTACCATCACTAAGAAAGCGAGTAATATTTTATTCTATCCAAGTGTCTACTCCCAAACCCTCCCCCTTTCTCTCTCCCACTTTTCTCCTTTCCTCTTTCTCCTTCTCAGTGAGATTATATGTATTTACGCCCGCAACACCAGGCAGATGCATTGCGCGCTGAAAGAGGCCACTATGGAGACGCGCTCGTGAATGCGCCAAGCATCGGCCAAGGCCTGGTTGTTTTCATTATTCTTTTTTGCTTTTGGCATAATTCAAGTCCATTTCTCCTCCCACTCCCCTCCCCCTCCCCTCCTCTCCCCGCCGTCCCCTGCTCCATCAATTCATTATTTCTGACAAATTGATAATTTAAACAAGTAAAAAAATGATGTGCCTGTGATCTCGACTGCTGCTGTTGGCCGCTGTTTCCTATGGTCTCCTCGCTGCTGACACTTTCCAGATCTGGTAAATCCACATCTGGTTCCACGACATGTTCTTTTCGCGCTTTTTCCTTTTCCCGTTTCTTGTATTTTCGTATACGCTGATATTTCTCGACTTCTTCCACAAGCTCCGGTGATTGGAATGACTGCGCGCTGCTGTCCCGTGAAAAACGTCTCCTCGCATCATCATTTTTTCGAATTACAACCTCCTGTAAAACGCGAATATCATGTCATTACAAGGATTTGGTGCTTTAAATCTTAATAAAAACTGAATCACAGCAATATTTTCAAAATAAAAAGGCACTAGTTGCGGTAGTGCCAACCAAAATTATGACTCTAATCAAAAGGATTTCGGTACAACCAGCAACTAAGCTTCTCCCGCACAAATAATAACAGTTATGCAAGTCACCTTACACTTCTGTTCTTGCAGCATAAAATTCCAAGCCGGATATAGATCCCGTATTTTACTGGCCTAATGAGTACTGAGGATAAGATTGCTAAGAGAGTACGAAGGAGAAAGGGGTCCTTCTTTCCAGTTTAAATCTTTAATCTAATCTCAGCAATCAAATCACTTGCAAATCTTACAAATGTTGGTTAGGAGACTATACTAAATGATTCCCACTGTGGGGGGAATTACCAATTCCGAGAAGTTATCGATGCCTTTTGCCTCACGTAAGTATTGTATGACGATGCATGGGGTCACTCCCCAAGAACTGTGATATCGCTATGTATCGTCGTGTTAGTGAATCAGTGTGTGTGCTGCATAAATTGGGAAGACGAGGCTGTCCACACAACCATACTTGTTTCTTTTTTTTTTAAACCTCGTTTTCTCTACACCCATTTCCACTAGCATGTACGCCAGCACGTACGCTTCAGTGTGTGTTCACCTGCCTTGCAAGAATCTCACGATTTTTTTTAAATATGTCCGTGATTTTTTATAGAAATACAAGAAAATATGATAATTTTATTATATTTCTTAGAAAGGAAGGGGTGGAAAAATTCATTAATATGTTTTATAAAAAATTGTAAAATAAGACATTTGGCATTTGACACTCTATAAGCAGCAATATTAACCTTGTAGTAGTCGCTTGTTCCTCCCGGTCCTTTCTTCTTATAATACTTACGCTTCTGAAAAATATCATTTTCTCATTTAAAATGCAATTTTACTAAGATCAACTGACACTTAAGAAGGGCAGAATTTTAAAACTTTTATGAATATGGCATTTTTTTATAACTTCCTTCTTACTTAGCACATATACTCTCTTACCCTTTCTCCTATCTTTTACTCTCCATTTTCCATTTTCTTCTTTGTTCGCTCGCATTCTCGCTTTATAATAATTTATAACATTACAGAAGTTATACTGACGAGGTTCAGTTGCAATGCTGAATAGGAACGTATCTGACTCTGTGGTTCAAAATCTTTGTTACTTCCATCTCTCTACTGATTTTTACAAACATAGAACTTTTTCCTGCTTACTGTATCTATCTATTACTCACTGTCCCTGTCACCTGTTACTCCAAAAATCATTTCTTCGTTTATGTTGTGCACCTATCGCATGTGAGTTTCTAAGATAACCGGTGAAGTTACTGCTGCTATGTGGGTTTTAGTTTCATGCCAAGCACAGCACGGCGCTTCTAATTCACTCGTCCTATGCTTGTTTCTGTGTGTAACTCAAAATTTTTGCCTCAATTTTCTGGAAAATTACACATAACACTGAGTTTCACCCAATTAACAAAAAAAAATCATCAAAATTAAATAAATGATATTTAATATTTACTCGCCTCAACAAAGCCCTTTTCTGGACGTCGATGCTTCCTGTACAGGGTGCTGGCACCTTTGGATGTTGTTGCTGTTGCTGCAGCTGCTTCATCGCCTAATTCACTCACACTTTCGTCGTCATCGTCGCCGTTTTCACTCCCAGAACTGGCGCTTGACGTTACTGAAGTGGAGTCATCCTGCTGACGTCTTCTTTTCCTGCTTATTTTTGCCTTATCACAAGCTAAAAGGAAAAAATCTAAACACAGAAAGCCAGAGTCTGAAAAGATTAAAAAGCAAAAATTCGAAATAAATATCAACGCGCACCGGGGTAGCCGGTGTCACCATGCGTTTTACGCAGTTCCCACGAGCGCACGTTTGCTGTTAAGAATTTTCACTGTTTTACAAATCGATTTAAGCAAAACAAATGATATGTTGCCCGGCTCCTAAGCTATAAAATTTTCATTAAAAATTTTATACACCGATATATAAAACGTAAGCGCACATGAAAGCTGAATTTGAAAATTCTGGGTTGCAAACAGAAGGGGAATATCGTTCCAAAATTCCCTCGATTTTGTCCAGATAAGATTCCAGGTGTCACTTTCATGAGCACTAACTTCTTCAACACTAGCTCAAGCTCAGCATAAAAAAACCCACAGGGGCATCCCTTCATAACTTTGCTACTAATTCCTATCCCCAACCAGGATCTCAGGCCTTTTTCAGTCAATAGCCCAAATCCTTCCGTATCGTCGAGACTTCCTAAACCATCTTCTCCGCCTTCGTTTCACTTTGTCTCCGCTCCTAGCCGCCTTCCCTCCCCCATCCAGTCATCGCAACCCGATTCCCCACCAGGCCAAGCAGAGATATAGTGTTCGAAGGATCCAGAGATAGTGAAGATGCGTGATTCGATGCCCTCCCGGTCCAAATTCATTTGCAAAATATGACTCCGTCCACGAGGCCCACCCCTTCTCTCAGCGGCACAACTAGCAGATTTAAAACTGTAGAAAACCCTCTTTCGCACCCCCTAGAAGCCTTACTTCTACTTACCCCCAGTCATCTCCCCACCGCTAGGTCTACTGCCCCTTCCTCAGGGGGATCGCCTTGGACCCGCCTACGTAACAGGAACTCTGCTTATATAAAGTTCCTGGAGTGGGATAACTGTAGCGCTGCATACGCACGTCACGTCAAGTAAATACAAAATTCAACAACAATTATGCAACTGTACCAGACGTATCATGTTCCCCTTGTCGTGTACTGCCAAGCGCTGCTTTCATTCTGACCATCTCTCTGTTTGTCTGTAAATAAACAAGAAACTACTACAATTACCTTTATCTACGGAAAACAAGTCAAACATCGAAGGCTCTGAGGATACTGGAAATTACAGGTGTTTTCTTTCACCGGTCCAATTCACACACATTTGCAAGAATGAACTCTGTTCGCAACATGTCTTAAGATCAAACCCTGAATTTTACAGAGAAAAAAATTCATTTCCAAGGAGTGAAAAATTGGCAAAACAAAGGTAAACTAGATTTTTTTCCTGGTTTCGCTATAAGTCAGGACCTCGAGATAAGTGATTTCGTTTCTGTAATCTCAAAGCGTGATTTATATTAGCCTCAACAAGGATCTGATAAAGGAGAAACATAGATCAGTTCCACATCTCGGGTCATTTCAAACAACAGCTGCAAGCACCTAATCCATTCGTAACGTCCTCGCAACCATTACTCTTAAATCACTTATTCTCTACCAATCGCAACAGCATCGAACTTCTAGCCCCAGCTTCTAGATAAAATCCCTAAAATGTCAAATTTCCCAAAATTCTACCGACAACTCCCTTCTACCATCGTCCTCGTTGTACATAAAAAAGAAAGCCAATGCAACTGCATATTCAAAATTAGAATAAATGGCAACGCGCACCAGACTAGCCGGTGCGATCATGCGTTTTGTGCAATTCAGCCCAT